AAGTTTGTCTCGCATTTACATATTAGTCTATGGCTTATTGTATGCTTTTATGTACTTCTTTTTCGTTGGAAATGATGAGTGTCGTTCTAGTGCAGCATCATAACTTTTTGATTATTGTTTGCAGTTTGCACCAATCTGAGCCAGTAATAACTCGTTTGAGTTATTTGTAATGTAGTTAGTAATGCTGCTCATGTTGAAATAAAATGTTTTTATTGTGTTTTCCTGAAGCTGTTTTGCTTTTTGTATGGAGTTTATTATATGAATTTCCATACGTTTCACTGCACAGAACGCAGGAAATTAAGTTCGAGTGACGCTAATTATAAATTGCCCAAATGTTTTGTATATATGAATAGATAAACGTCTGAAAAGGCCGTTTCCGACGATCTAGAGGCCCTAATTTTAAATTTTTTTCTCAGCCTGGTACTCAGCAAATAGCATGACCAATCATAGCGGGACCGTAAATCCTCGGGCTGGCTACGCTATTGCCAGCGACATAGCCAAAAGACTTAGCATTAACGTCCTTGTGATTTTATGGAGATAGATCCATAACTGAGGATTTTAGAAAGCCTTATCCGCACCTTCTTAAAGTTGTAGACATGATATGTTGTTTACGTCCAACACGATAAGATTACACAACTCAAAATGATTCGAGCAAAACCGTTCTTTTGTTAAAAGGAAGACTGGTTAATAGAAATTGGTCTTTTTGAGTGACATAATCGTTTGTTGTCATCAGTCCGTGTCGTTGAACAATGGAAAAAATATCGTAAATTGGCGAAGATAAAATAGCAGGTTGTGAGAAAACTGCGGGTCTGCGGTGCGGGAAGTTTTCAGATTTGAACTCAGCATGTTCGAAAGTGTTAGTTCTCGTATTTCAGTTACAAGACATGGGAAATGAAAGTGAACGATATCGCGACGCAGCAAACGGCCTACTATATGCGAATATGGATATTTAAGAGGCTGTCTCCGTAAAAACCTCCAGGTCAATATGGGGCTCAAAAATAGATTTCTCTCATACTCTAGTATTTTGAAGATCTATCCTTGGGAACAGCTAAAATCGATGTCATTTTACTCAAATTTCCTTTAAATTATTTTTGGGGGCGATTGATGTTCGATCGACTGGTAACCAACTTGATACTCCGAATGAAGGCCAAATATCGACATATTTTCAGCGCTATTTTTCAAATCAAATTCATACCTAAATTTCAAAATTTTTGCTCAGAAATATAGACTTATCCTTCTATTTTCGTCGGTGATACAACTTAGATCATTATTCTTTGGTATAAAATAGAAAACAGCGCAGTTATTGACCCTCCCGAACGGATAAAGGATATCGTCTCAAAATATGTCAACTTCGAAAGCTTATTCCAAAATCGTGGCACTTGATTGGCACATGACTTTAACTTTTCTATAAACTACTAACATTAGTCAACACAAATCGCCAATAATGTCTTTCTGCTCTACCATTTGACAAAAATGACAAGCGCGCAAACTTTGTAAAATTTGAAAATGTGTCGAAATCGAGCATACTTTATTGGTAAACATAATTATTGATATTAACAGATAAAATCACCTTACACTACACTGAATGAAGCTTCAATATGTAAATACATGTCTTTCATCATTATTCTTTGGTTTGGCGCTTGAATCAAATTGTTTGAGTACAGTTTGGCTTCACGGATAGAGTCATTCAATGCCAGTGTGTCCAGTGTCTTCTGCGCGCCTCAATGCCACGAGTCCTGATTGTGACATACAGACATACTATACAATCTTCGCCCTGTTCGCTTTGTTTACCTCTTTAACAAATACATGTTTAACAAATAACAATATTCAATGAAATTGGAAAACTCAGAATTAGTCATACTACAGACAGAATTTTCATCGTTTTTAAACTGTTTTATAAAAGTTTCATTAGAATGTACGAATTAAATCTCGGGGAAAACCCCGGGCAATGATGTCAAATGTCAATATTTCGTTAGTTTCGCTCAGTATAGTTTTCTAGCAACTGAATTGTCTCTAGGTTTAGAAACAATTATCAATGAAACTAGAATTCAAGTAAGTCACGGTTCTGTATAAAAAAAATCAACTTTTTCAGACCGACCCTGGGTCACTTTGCTCAAGGCTATGCTTCAAGAATTTACATTATTTCTTATTGTATAAAAATATGCGAATATTTTGATATAATACAAAACAATTCAGCGCAAAAGCTGTAACCCATTTGAACGTCTCAGTTATTTAATCAATGTTATTACTTTTTTCAGTAACAATTAGAAAGGTTCTGAAAATTAGAATTAATTTATATTCTTCTTCCCGACAAGCTTTAAAGGGTGACAAATTTGCAAGTGATAACTAATGTCATTCTTACACGCCAGCAACTTCGAAGAACAGTCTACTGTGTCTCGGAATTTTCCACACTCAGAAGTAGAAAAGGAACATTTCTACATTATTGTTTACCCGTCATTCTCATCTGTCAACATAAAATCTACTGTCTGTCGAAATCGTTTAAGGCCCTGTCACACTATTGCGTATCGTACTAGCGTATGCCAGCGTATGAAAAATATCGCTCATACGCCGGTATACGCTGACATACGCTAGGGGTACGCTAGGCATAGGTTGTATACGTTTCAAGCACGGTCGCATACGGTGGCATACGGCGAGGCATAAAATTTTTTTAAGCATGTTCAAAAATTTTGTGCGTATCGGACGTATGCTTTATACGATAAGCATACTCTAGGCACACGCTCAACACGCTAGAGGTACGCCAGATGTACGGTACTCATACGCTGGCATTGCAAAGGATTTTTGTGCGTATGAAAATTATTTCATTGATTTTCATACGCTTCTCTCATACGCATTAGTGTGACAGGGCCTTTAGGTTTACCTAAAGGCCCTGTCACACTATTGCGTATCGTACTAGCGTATGCCAGCGTATGAAAAATATCACTCATACGCCGGTATACGCTGACATACGATAGGGGTACGCTAGGCATAGGTTATATACGTTTCAAGCACGGTCGCATACGGTTGCATACGCTGGCATACGGCGGGGCAGAAATTTTTTTTTAAGCATGTTCAAAAATTTTGTGCGTATTGGACGTATGCTTTATAAGATAAGCATACTTTAGGCACACGCTGAATACGCTAGAGGTACGCCAGATGTACGGTACTCATACGCTGGCATTTCAAAGGATTTTTGTGCGTATGAAAATGATTTCATTAATTTTCATACGGTTCTCATACGTTTCTCTCATACGCAATAGTGTGACAGGGCCTTAACGTTGCATGATCACAAATTGCGGCTGTAGTAGAAGTAGAACACCATTATTGTAAACACAAAAACCTGGTCGTGCAATACTGTCTAAGACTACTATTTAATTCAATACAAAGAAAGGGAAATCAGAGAGCAACGAAACATTTCATCGTCATTTGATTGACATGTTTACGCTCAGCGAGTACATTTCTTTCGGTTAGGAGTTTTCCCCGAGATTAATTCGTACATTCTATAAAACGAAACTTTTATATAACAGTTTAAGGTAAACAAACCAATGAAAGTTATGTCTGTAGTATGACTAATTCTGAATTTTCTAATTTCTTTGAGACATTTTATTTACAGGAGGTAAACAAAGCGAACAGAGCGAAGTTCGTATGTCACAATCAGGACTGATGCCGTCATGGCATTGAGGCGCGCAGAATTCGAACACACAGGACACACTAGCTGGCATTGAATGACTATCCTTGAAGCCAAACTGTACAGTCAAACAATCTCATTCGAGTGCAAAACCAAAGAATAATGATGAAAGACATATATTTACATAATCAAGCTTCATTCAGTGTAGTGTAAGGTGGTTTTATTTGTTAATATCAAGAATTATGTTTACCGATAAAGTATGCTCGATTTCGACACATTTTCAAATTTTACAAAGTTTGCGCGCTTGTCATTTTTGTCAAATGGTAGAGCAGAAAGATGTTATTGGCGATTTGTGTTGACTAATGTTAGTAGTTTATAGAAAAGTTAAAGTCATGTGCCAATCAAGTGCCACGATTTTGAAATAAGCTTTCGAAGTTGACATATTTTGAGACGATATCCTTTATCCGTTCAGGAGGGTCAATAACTGCGCTGTTTTCTATTTTATACCAAAGAATAATGATCTAAGTCATATCACCCGCGAAAATAGAAGGATAAGTCTATATTTCTGAGCAAAAATTTTGAAATTTAGGTATGAATTTGATTTAAAAAATAGCGCTGAAAATATGTCGATATTTGGCCTTCAGTCGGAGTATCAAGTTGGTTACCAGTCGATCGAACATCAATCGCCCCCAAAAATAATTTAAAGGAAATTTGAGTAAAATGACATCGATTTTAGTTGTTCCCAAGGATAGATCTTCAAAATACTAGAGTATGAGAGAAATCTATTTTCGAGCCCCATACTGACCTGGAGGTTTTTACGGAGACAGCCTCTTAAGGTTTTACTTTATTTCTGGTAGGAATTTGAGTCCTGGCACGAGAGGCATGCCATGAGTTCCAATGCTCCGACTTCTGCATTGCTTGAACTAGAATCGTTGAATAAGAAAAGAGGTAAGAAACTTTCGTATCATGACCAGACACGGATGTCATGAGTTTGCCAACAATTTCATCTCTGTTACATTGGCGGCAAATCTAGATGGTTTTAGATGAATTAACAGTAAGTATAGACTAATTTCTGGCCGTGCTATCACTGGGATATCGTAGTTATTGTGCTAGAGAATCACAACTTCAACTTGTGAAAAATTATATTAATTAATCAATTGAAAACGCTGCATGCACGGGCGTAAATTTTTTTAAATACGAATTGGTAAAAAAAACACAGACAGATAAAATTAGCAAAAAATACAGCATTATAAGAACAAATTGTATCATTTATTCCCATATAAATCACAACGCTATTCATCTTAAACGGAACGAAAATCGAATTGCAATAAAATACATTGAGGCGACCAGTAAGAGACATGTTTTTCGAAGTTGTATCTGGTCTAGTTAAAATATTTAATATTTTTAGCTTAGAACTTTTTAAATATTTTAACTAGACCAGATACAACTTCGAAAAACATATATATATATATATATATATATATATATATATATATATATATATATATATATATATATATATATATATATATATATAAGAAGTCCCTTTTTTAAACCAAAATAAACCAAAAAAGGGACTTCTTCAGGCAAATTGTGAGATTATTTATTAAATTCCTCAGACGTTTCGCCGGTTAAGGCTTCATCAGTGAGTACAATAATCTGAATAATAAAATCGTCCTCTATATATACATGCATTTATCGCTTGATTGAGAATGTAAAAGCTAAAGAATGTTGTTAAAAATGTTAATTTGAGTTCTAAGTTAAAAATTTTTAAAATTAAGTTAAAAGAGTGATTGTTATTATATTGTTGATTGTACCATAGGATATATTAGAAGCCTGATTGTTCCAATTAGTCAAACTAGATATTGATATTACGTCCAGCACAACCATTCATAATTCTGTCCGAATAATTCCGAATCTCAAGTGCTTCGATCACTTCACGCTCATACCGGTAATTTATATTTGAATGGAGGATTTTCCAACTTATTGTCGACTCGCTTTGTGGGTCAATATTGTGAGTCAATATTTTACATTGTCATCTGGTCTATGTGGGAGAAACCGAAAGAACAATACGATCGCGGATAAAGGAACATCTCCGAATGGACAAACAAACAGTTGATGTACACCTTAGAACTCACAATATTGACCCACAAAGCGAGTCGACAATATGTTGGAAAATCCTCCATTCAAATATAAATTACCGGTATGAGCGTGAAGTGATCGAAGCACTTGAGATTCGGAATTATTCGGACAGAATTATGAATGGTTGTGCTGGACGTAATATCAATATCTAGTTTGACTAATTGGAACGATCAGGCTTCTAATATATCCTATGGTACAATCAACAATATAATAACAATCACTATTAACATTTTTAATTACATTCTTTAGCTTTTACATTCTCAATCAAGCGATAAATGTATGTATATATAGAAGACGATTTTATTATTCAGATTATTGTACTCACTCATGAAGCCTTAACCGGCGAAACGTCTGAGGAGTTTAATAAATAATCTCACAATTTGCCTGAAGAAGTCCCTTTTTTGGTTTAAAATAAACCAACCGACAGAAATAATCCAGGCATGACAATCAAAACCTATTCATATATATATATATATATATATATATATATATATATATATATATATATATATATATATATATATATATATATATATATATATATATATATATATATATATATATATATATATATATATATATATATATATATATATATATCAATCAATCAAGACAATCAAACGAAAGATTTGATCGAACACAAAGTTCGAACAATACTCGTAGATAAGGTCGGACCCCTTCCAGATACAGAACAACAATACAAGAGGAGTTAGAACATAAACGCATCGACCTGGTCAATGTGCACACGCTAGACCGCCGCCACAACAGCGCGGGAAACCATGGATCTATAAGCAAATTACAAGGGAAGAACCATCGCGTTCGTACACATTAAAAACACCCAACGGGATGATAAGAATGAATCGTGTCCACATCATACCGACAGCAGCACCACCGCCAGATACCGGACCTACTTCTCATAAAAGGGCGTACGAGTCCTCAACCGATGTGGAAGCAATCCCCATCCTTCTTCCAATTAAGTAGACCACCCAAGAAGGAAATAACGGTAACACATGATGGACAAGAACGTTCTACACCCATATCACCACACGAACCATCAACGCCCATTCCACCTACCCAGCCAACGCCCATTCCACTGCCCGACTTGTCAGAAAGGCCAACCAGGACGAAAAGAGTGCCAGAGAGGCTGAAAGACTATGTACTACATGGACTGGAACTGTTATTAATATAAAATAAAACTAATTACTTTTAGTATATTTTTTGGAGGAAGAGATATGTTGGTCAGCGGTCTGACCCGGATGGTCAGGCGCAATGGAAGGAAGGGACAGATTAGAGTTTGTACTTTTCCACAGTGAATTCGAAATCATAAACGTTTAGTAATATAATTACATTCCGTTATCGTTAAATTACATTTCTTTGTGTATGGTCTACAACTATACAAGCGATCTATAGCCGTTTGAACATTAAGCTTGACTAAGCGGCTATAAATCCACTTTGGCCCAATAGAACCTTCCAAGGGATAACGACATCACAATGAAACACTATAGTGCAAGGGATACAAACACAATGGAATTCCCTATATGGTAAATTTGCAAGAGGTGCAAACACAATGTTGAAAACAATAGATCCAAAATACGTCCTTAATCTTGGAATGGTCTATTTACAGGACTTAAACGGTATCTAACATGCCATACCAACACTCTAAAAACACCCCTAAGTTAAAAATGTCCTGGCTAATCTAAAATTAACTTTGGTTGAGTTAACTTAATGTTCCTGGTTAAATTTCCAGGTTAATTTAACCACAATCCTGGTTAACTTGAACATTATCGTGGCTAATTTAACAAGGATTCCTGGTTAATTTAACCAGGCTAAATGTTTAAAATCACCAGGTTATGTTAGGTGGACTATTAACCAAGTTTCCTGGTTATAAAACCACCTAACATAATCTGGTTAATTCAACCATACATGTAGGCTGATGGAATTCAACCATACATGTAGCCCAGGAATCCTTGTGAAATTGGCCAGGACTGTGATCAAGTTGACAGCGATTGTGGTTAAATTAACCTGAACCATTCAGTTACCCCAAACAGGGTTAATTTTAGATTAACCAAGAAATTTTTAGCCAGAGTGTTTTTAGAGTGAACAGATTGTTTCATTAAGTTAAATTCTTACTGCTATAAATATATTGTCGTCTAATGACTTGTTAAAAATGATATTCAAACGACATTACTCAATAAATATTGACTATACATTTTTTATTAAATTAAGGAGTCACCAAAACAATTGCAGTCACCACATATAACCTAAGTATTAGTTGACTTATAAAACTCAGAACTAAACTCGAAGCGCGTATATTTTTTAGATATTCTGCATGTATTTTGTTATTTTAAGAAAAGCCCGTGTATATATTCTGTGTAGTAATAGGATATTCATATTCCATTAAAATGAAAATTTTATTTCAGGATCAGAAACAGAAGAGATTTCTTATGTTGTCTTGTTGAAAAACTGGGAAATCTCGCCAAGCCATCTGACGTTGCAGGACAAAACACTTGGAGCTGGACAGTTCGGAATTGTTAAACAAGGCTTATATACACCTTCTAAAGATTGTGAGCCGGAAATTGTTGCCGTAAAAATGTTGAAAGGTACTAAATAATACTATAGCTTATGTTATGATAAAAATATTCTCAAAATTTGCCTCTCACAATTAAAAATAATTCACGACAGAAATATTTGTAAAACCGGTTTTCCTGCACTAGGCGGAAGTTCGCAATTAGTTTCAACGAGAAATCACCAGACAAAGAACAACAAAGAACAACGTCGCAGCAAGCATTCATGTTGCTCCAATGACGTGAAAATCTTGTATTCAGAATGACAACGAAATTCAAACTTTTTGTTTTGCATCAATAATTTCTTTATTTAAAAGGCGGCGTCTTTATTCAGTTCGCGTCGTGTGTTCTAAATCATTCTTTTGTTAGAAGATGACATGGTACTATAGAAACTTATAAAATGCAAAAAAAGGATAATTAAGAGGAGATTTTTACAAATTCGCGTATTTTTTTCGAAAAGCGCTCAAAACTTAGCGACCAGGCCTTCGCGAAAAAATGCTGCGCCGCGTTCTTGGTTTTAAAAGTTTCCCTAAATTTGCGAAGACAAATAACATAATTTTACTGCATTTTTGGTTATGTCATGATTCAAAACATTGTCAAATATAAAAAAAGATAACATGACAAGTGCAATATCGTATTTAATAGCTGTTATTTTAATTATTCCCGAGCCAACGGCGCGGAGCGCCGTGCGAGGGTAATTGTTCGCCGGCTATTTACCCCCAGGGAAAGGAAAGCATTAGCGAAGTCTAAAGTTTATCAATGATCGCGGGCGTGGGTCACCGTTCATGGGTGGCAATCGTCACTGATCCGAAAATATAGCGGACGGTCGTAAATAGCCAACACTGATTGGTCCAATTTAAAATTTGCATTATAATGACTGCATAACGCCATGAGGGCTGTGAAATAGCAAATATTTCTTGATTTGATGATTTCTTGCAAATATATTTAATTTTTGGTCGCATTCTTGCCAGATTTTGTAAAGTTCAAAAGCTTTTTGAGAAAAACATGGCGAAAGAATCGTCTAAAAGAAGGGAGCAAAGGCACCGACGTTAACGAAGGTAAGTTTTTTTTCTGTGTTGATGTATTAAACTGTGTTGATGTAGAAACAATATTGATGTATTGTTTGCTTTATAATTGCTTTAAAAACCGATCGTTTCATATACGAAACAACTAAACAAGACAGAATATAATTTCAGTGTATCTTTATTGATTTCTCATTTTTATTATAATAAATTTTTTAAATAAAAAGAAGCAAAGTTATTTGCATGCGAGAATTTGAAATCATTTTATGTCAAACTCAAAGTTTATCGATAAAGGCAGTTTAGTTTTATAAAAAACATTTTGAAACGTTTTGCGAAGCGTTTGTGGTTGAATTTTACCTTAATTAAATTGAAGCTTATATTACGTATAACATATCGTTACTAAATATGTTCGTACCACAACAATTAATAGTCTTTATATTTAATTTAACATTAAACAACATTAAAACAACGCTACGAGAACGTTTGTGATTGAAATTGGCGCCGATATCAAATGTTGACGCCATTTCTGCCATTTTCCAGCAAGGAAAATAAAAACCTGTAAAAACAAACTGTGAAAAGCTGTTACTGCATGCTCGTTTGGCAAAGAACTAAAAGAAGAACTTCATGTAACATTAAATGTTAACCATAACCCGGTCACATGACAAGTATCAAAATCATCGATATTTAAAAAAAGTATCGATACCATCTTTTGAATTGTGAATATCGATAGTATCGATACTTTAGTAGTGGTATCGCCAATTTATTTTTTCATTTGTAAAAATATTCTTAAAAGGTTATCGTGTTACCATGACAACTACTTTAGATACTTCATGTTTGAAAATACAATGGTTTTGTCAGCAAGGCGAAGATTTCTGAATGCATGTATTTTCTAGTTATTATGTAAATATGCACATGCATCGCAACCTCGTTCCCATGGCTTTTCCCTTTTTGTCATTGGAAATGCGGGATAAGGCAGTGGCACCGGGCGGTCACATGACTTTCAACACCCAGATATAGTGGGTGTAATAATAACTAGAATTACATGCATGCAGCAACCATAGATATCTTATATACACTAGATAGTGCATCTAATTATTCTGCAATTCAAAAATTGAAGCCGTGATTGCATTCTCAGGTCGTTCCCATGAAATGAGAAGATTCGTATATTTTCTATTTCTTAAACACGGAACTTAAACATGAAGTTAACCCTCTATTCCAAATACGTTCTTAAACTATTCAACTGATGAAAGTTATTGTTGTTTTTAAGCGTTTATTAGCAAGTGGGAACGACCAACATGGCCGCCATCTATTCAAATGGGGGTAAC